TCATGGAGTGCTTAGGGCGGCGGGGGTGAAACAGAGCGGGGCGCCCTGACTTATGGGGCGAGGCGGGGCGTGGTAGGGCGGGGCGGGCGCCGCACCCCCATCCGCAGCACAGTCGAGATGTGCATGTACTGGTGGCGGAGCGTGGAGCGGCGTGATGACAGGGTAGTGCCCCACACCCGAAACGCGAACGGAAACAAAAGCGGGGCTTTTTAAAGCTGGTCGCGGTTGCGGGCGGAGGATTAGGGGGGGGGGGGGCACGGGGCCTGCGCCTCTCTCCCCCTGTCAGGCGCAGGCTCGCCGTCACAGTCTGCCTCCCTTTCCCCTTCTCCCTCTCATTTCCCCCTGCCCAGCCCACCCGCCTCTCGAGGACCCCTATTTCTTTTGTAAATACAGACAATCGGATTGGCTCTCGGTTGTGTTTGGAATCGGTCCGAACTCCAAACGATGCGAGCGCCGAGCGCGGCGGCCTCGGCCCGTGAGACGAGGGGGGGGGGGGGCGGCTTTGTGCAGTAGCGGGTTGCCTGAACGGGGTGCTGCTGCTGCTGGGCTTCGTTCTGGCCGCCGTCAACTTCGTCTCGTGAGCGGCAGGGAAGTCCTGTGACGGGCGGCCCGCGGGCGGGCTTGACTTGCAAAGCAAGCGCTTGTTCGGTTTGGCTTTCCCTCCCGACATGCGCCCGCCCCACCCCCGCACCACTTAGGAACCATACCGTGAGCTTGTTTCGCGGTCCGTTAGCCGGAGGAGGACCCAGTGGCGGCGCGCTGCGCGGGGCCTAAAATAAAAAAAACAAAGACGGGCGGAGGAAAAAGATCTGGAGTGTCGTGCTGCGCATGTAGGATGTTACCCCCTCCCCCTCCGCCCTGATGCCTACAATTTTACTTATTTTCTACAGAGCGCCACACTCTCTGCCTATAGAGTCCCTTCTATGACTCTATCTCTGGCCTAAACCCAGAGGGACCCTCTCCCCGTTTGCGGTTCCGGTTTACGCGGGAAATTCAAACGCCGTCGCTCAGCGCGGCGATTTGCTGCCGGTGATGTGCTACAAGGGCGCGTGCGGGGGAGG